TCAATGCAATCAACTGGTTTTCCTTAGATAGAAAACTTTGAATTAATTTGACTGTATGACCTGGTGAACTGTAAGGTGCCTTGAGATGACATGTGTTGTGAATTGGTGCTATAGAAATAAACTGAACTGAATTATAAATCAATTGTTTGTCAGTTGATAAGATCCATCAATTTTGGATTAATTCATTAATCAATAACTTGCATCCCTATTATCTACACAAACAGGCAGGTGGTGCTGATGATGGTTCATTCTCTGATCGGCTCTCAGATGAACTCCCCAAGGAAAGCTCCTTCCTGAGTCCTAAATTTGACACCAATGACTGCTACTGACTCTCCTGAGGGCCATGATCTTTCATGTTATGTGGCTGCAGCCGGACCTCAGAAACACTGTGGTGCAGATGAGCTGCTGCCTGACTGTTTGGCTCAAAGCAAGAAAACTAAACCAGAAGAACTGCTGATGTCAACATGACAGGAACAATACCAAGTAGTGAAATGGAGCCCTCACCTAAAAGCCTATCAAGGAGTATTACTGACCCAAAATATCCTAAGGCTGCTGGCTGCATTGCTCGGGGCTCATGTTTTCATGTGGTTCCAGTTCCACCATCAGTGTTATAAGCCCAGAAGAATTTAAAGAATACAGACTAGTCCAGAATTTGGGCAAAACAGCTTGAAGTTCTTAAAATATGGAACTACAAAGACCTGTAAAACAGCTTGAAGTTCTTAAAATATGGAACTACAAAGACCTGAAGCAGAGTTGAGACCGGTACTATCCAGAGAACAGAAGCTTCTGTTCGGTCTGAGGGGGACCATTTTTCTAATTATACCATCAAAGTGAGGACATTTTGTTGGTTCTTTTCCTTTTTAGCTGTTAGGTTTGGGGTTAGAAATGACTGAAAGGCAGCGGGGGGGTTACCTTCTCCATCCGTGGTGTTTTTGGTTTTCGGTGGCGGCGCCGCTGTCGCCTGATGAGTCTGGGTGAGGAGCTACTCTGGCCTGTTGATTGGCTAAACCTGGTATGACATCACAGACACAATCCTGGTTGGTAAAAATAACAAATAAAAAATCTAAACACACATTAAGGAAATTAAACAGGACATAAAAAGGGCAGCTAATTATTTTTCTGGATTTATGTCTCGAACAGATGTTAAAGTTCAAGAGACAAACCTAAATATAGACAAAACTAAAAAAAAAATAGATCTCTGTTTCTTTTTGTTATCATGGATAAATTATGGGTAATTTTCAAACTGAAATTGGTCAAGTTTATCACATAAAAGGGATTAGAGATCCCTAAAGATATAACAATTATATAAATAATTTAAAAATTATAATAAAACAAAAACACATAATTTTTTTAATCAACGCTTTCTATTCCTTAGAGTTTATTCTCATAAGCTACATTATTTTAACCATTTCTAATGAATGAGTTGATGCATCATACAAATGATCTCCAGATGTTAAATAAAGAAAATGTGAAATGAATAAAGATTAATTCAGTGTTTTCCAAACAGAGGTAAGGTTGTGCAATAGAAATGGCTATTAGTTCACAAAATATGTGAATTAAAAAGGTCAAATAAATTGGAATGATCACATAAATATGCAAAATAACTGAAAAGTTGGAAATCATAAACTGTTATCAGATGGATTAAAAAAACTAAACACTAAATTCAGGATCTAAACCATTTATCACAAGCAATTATTACTAAAATACTGAAAAAGCATACTTACCTGTCAAAAATGAACCACTTTTAATAATAATGTGTTTACAGCAGAGAGAGAAAAATCCTACTTTATAAATAAGAAATAAAAACACTGCAAAACTCCAACAAGGATGTTTAAACAGATTTAAAATAAAATCATAGAAAAGAAAACTGATGCAAAAAAATGTAAATTTGGTGTAAAGGAAATCATGGATGTGATCAGGAACACATTATTTCTGCTCTCAGATCAGTTGGGATGGCTTTATCAGCGGCACAATACAAAGGACTACACAGGTCACATGACACGCAGCAGCCAATCAGAGCAGGGGATGAGGGCAGGGCGTGAACAGGTTTACTGGAGCAGAAAAGATGACCTGCAGGCAGGTGAATGTGTGTCGAGCAAACAGGCCAATCACGCTCGGCTGTTGACGCCACTGAGTCACATGACCTGCACAGCCTTTAAAGGGGCAGTGCCACATTTTTACACATGTCAGAAAGTCATAAGTGTTCAGACTCACATCAGGTTCCCTGGGATGTTCTAACTTCATCATTTTTATAACCCTGAAGGTGTTTCTGAGGGTGCAGCAAACACACCACGATGCATTCAGGGACCCTCCCCTAACTGTCATACATGAAACAAATATTAGTAATGGAGCCAGATGGACACAGACAGAGGGAGAACCGCTGTTGTTCTGGCACTACAGGTTGTTTTAGAACATTGCAGTTGGAAACCAAAAAGTATAAAACCACATGGCATTTTATATGTAAATACATCGATTACTACTTTATTTGATTACTTTTAGTAACACTAGATGATGCATACGAATAGCTGACTAAACACCAATAGAGCGAAATAACAGAAATAGAGGACCCTGAATCAAACCTTCAGCCTGGGGCCTGGGTGCTAAAACAAACAGCTCCACACCTCAGATCTGATAAAGTGCTTTGAAAACTATTTTCCCTCAGAGACTTTTAAACTTTTTATCTCAGATTATGTTTCAGATGATTGAACAGGTTCTAATCACAAAGATAACCCCAGTTGATAAAACACTTTCCTGAGGATTGCTTTCTTCAAAGAAATAAAAAGCTTCTAAACCGACCTGATAAGCCTTTGGTAAAGAATAATTTTTTTGTAATTTACCAAAACCTTTAAAGATGAGTTTAACCGAGGTCCGGAAACCATACAGAAAGAATGACCTGGAGAGTAAACTGAAAGCTCTCCCATCCTGATCCAAAGAAGTTAAAGCAGAGATTATGAGAAAGTCCCACTCAGGAAAGGGTTACATGGAGCCGTAGAGATCCTTCCTCCAAGAGGGTAGGTTAAAATGAGTTCATCAATGATTCATCCAGGAGGATGAAACATCTAAAGCTCTACAGGCCTCAATGACGGACTGAATTTATGATTCAGAACCTAAACAGAGAGACTGGACAAAGAGGTCCCAGCCCAGAACCAGTGCTGACCCAGAAGACCACAAAGGCCGACTCATGTTCATCAAAAAACCCTCTTCATGATCTCCAGCAGACACTTAAGACAGAACTGGACCTTTCTGAATGTTCCATCTGCTGTAAAACTGACCACTTTTAAAAAAAAATGTAACCTCACAGTGCAGTAAAACACGGTGGAGGATGCATGATGGTCTGGAGCTGCTTTCTGCTGCAGGGACTGGATGTTTGTTATCCACAGAGACAAGACAAGTTCACCTCTGATCCACAAATGAAGCGTTAGAAGCAGCCAGTCACAGTCTGAGCAGATCTAACTGAGATGGGATGAAGCAACTTTAAACACGCTTTAAAGTTCAGAAGCGGGTAAAATTTTTTGATGAAGGGTCAGGCGCCTGAGGATACTGTTTTCTCAATAATAACTGGAATCATCATTTCAAATTGTTTTCTTTTTTTTCCTCAGGTAATCTCTGTCTGATGTTGGAATAGTTGGTTCACATGAAACATTTATGTAAACCTGAGGGTGCAAATACTTTACTTTTCACAGCAGCGTATGTTTAACTCATTCTGATCTCCACAGATCAGCTGCATCTAAAGTAGAATCTGACCTTCCTCCTGAGTCTTCCTCCGATGAGCAGAAACTGGTCGTCTCTAACTCGCTGCTCTGTTGGTTCGATGAGTTGTCACCTCCGCCTGCTGGCCCCGCCCCTTTTTTATCGGCCGCTCGGTGGACGTGTCCATTTGGGTGTCCTGCTGTGTGGACAGCAGCCATCAGACAGGCAGCAGATTCAACAGAGAACAAGAAAAAGCTTGAAAGGTGACAGAACTAAACTGATTTAGACCAACTTCATTTGATATTTTCCATTTTTATACCACAGTACATTAATTTTATTCCTTAAAGATTAAAGAGACACTTCTGACATATTCTGAATCCGCAGAACTTTGGGTGACATCGGTGTGTTTAATGATAATTTCTTAAGCAGTTTGTTGTAATGCTGTTCAGACCGCACACTACTGAAGCTGCAAAAGCAGCTGGTTTACATGCAACGTCAATGGTTGATGCGCATCAAGGTGCATCTAAAGGTCGTGCAGCGATTTTCGAGCAGCAGCAGCAGAGATGCATCTGAGCAGCTAAAGCAGTGCCGCATCTGAGGCGCGTGACACCCTTCACAAGTAGTACTGGGTATTTTTGCCTGAATCAATTCGATTTTGATTCATTCAGTTCTAAATCGATTAATTTCGTTTCGATCTTTTTTTACAGTTATGAATGTGGTTTAACTGTGTTTTAGAATACTCATGTATTTTATCTTTTCCTGTCACATTAAGTGACAGGAAAAGTGCAAACTTGTAAATCAGACAGTTTAAACTTGAGACGTGAACAAAACTGTCTCTAAAGTGCAAACTTGTTTGTGAAACAGGAAAAAGTCTCACATGAGCAAGCAGATGTGACACAGCAGACATGCATGATGTGACACAGCAGACATGCATGAGCTGCATTATTTTCACTGCAGAAACTATATGTGCAGGATTGTCGGTAACAACTACAGGGTGTTTTCTGGTCAGGCCCCATTTGTTAATGTCTTCAGTCAACCTATTAGCTATATTTGCAGCTGTCTGGCTTGAAGTCATCTTAAGAGCATCTTTCCTGCTCATTTGAATGTGAACGTCACGAGAGTCACTATAAAATGAATCCATCTCATTCCCTAGACATCGACTTTTGCAAAAATGTAAAAGGAATCGATTTTTTTTACCCAGCCCTACTCACAAGCAGCAGCTTCTGGAGTTGGAAAAATTGAGGTTTTGCTGCTTGATGTGCCACATCAACCAATCAGAGAACATTGCAAAAACTACCTAGAAGTTGACCTTTCTTAAATGAAGTGTATTCATTCTTAATTTGAGAACATAATTAAAATGATCTGCAAATGGAATTAATATTTATACTATTAAAATAAGATAATTAGATCACATGCACTTCAAATAAGAGAATACAATTGTTTTTTTCTTGTTTTAAATGTAAATTGTCTTGTTCTATTGGCGAAGTGTCTCACTTACCTCGTCAATTCAACAAAGAATGCACTTATTTTAAGAAAAAAATAACTTATCTAGACTTCCATTTTTTCCAGAGAAGCTGATCTGGAGACAGACACAGCACTGCTGATGCAGATCGCCATGATTACTACCCTGAAACAGTTTATTAACACCTTAGTTAACTTAAGATGGCGAAACCTGCTGGCAAAATATGTTCCTTTTTATTATTCTGGTGAGTGAAGTTTGGATTACGTACATGATGATTGCCAGTGACAGCGCCCCGCCGGTGTACGGGGTTTTGTGCTGGTCTGACAGTGAAATAATATTTGAAAGCAGGTTCGTAATATTGATGAACTGACTGCACAGATGATGTATTGAAGTGGACTTTCTCACTTAAAAACATTTTAAAGCTACTTTTTACCCACTTAAAACAGCAGATATAGCAAAGCCGCTCTCTGCCATTGACCACATGAGCAGCAGATGCATCTGGATACACTTTAATGGACACGCTTCAAAGCTGCTCTTGACGGGTGTCTGACCTTAATATGTACAAGCATCAAAAATGAAGCAGCAGGTGCTTTTTTGCCGCTTCCTGTCTTAACGTAGCATAAGAGCTGAAGCTGCAGGGACCCCATCCAGCCAGCAGGAGGCGATTGGCGAGTTACAGAAAAGACCTGAACAAAAACAGGAGCCAAATCCTTCCTGTCTGTTTGACCTTACCTCGGTTGCCCACATCTCTCCGCTGGAGCTTCTCTGAAGGGGGAGTAGGAGATTTGACCTCCGACCCCTGAAGGTCATCATGACAGAGAGCTGCAGCACTGAGATAGACAGACAGATGATAGCACATCGCATCAGTGCAGTCCGGTAGAGCCCTAACCATAAATTAATCTGTTTACTCACTGGAAGGACGGAGGTCTGGAGTCTCCAATACCGCCTGTCCTCTCAATGGGGGGAGGGGCCAAGCTGGAGGGCGTGGCCACAGAATAGGTGTCTGACCCCCTGAAATCTGGAGGACAAGTGTCTGATGACACCACCTGCAGCAAAGAAGACAAGAAGAATGAACTGAGTCCTACGGAAACAGACATGACAATTAAGAAGCGTGTTTCTATCATACTGCGACAAATGGAGACTAAATATCTGAATGTCAGGAAATTTAACCAACATTTAGTCTAAAAATGTCAGTGAAATATGATTACAAAATCTAAGCTCGATGTGTTTAAACCAACACATTATGTTTGACGGTACTGAGATCCGTCCAGCAGCTTCAGAGAGAAGACTGAAGCAACATTAGAGTCTGGATGGAGATTTAAAGAAGCTTCAGAAGATTTTAAAACTTCTGTTTGGAAAAATCCAGCAGCGAAGAACTTTCAAACTACTGCCGACATGTTTCAGTCGGGCTGGTTAACCCAAAGGGCAGAGAACAAGATGCCAAAAGATGTCTCCAAAAGCAGGTTCTCTCTTTGCTCACACAGAAGAAAGGATTACTTAAAAGT